CAACATCAGAACGAGAAGACCAAGCAACAGGAGGTATGACTGCTGTACAGATTATAGTTGAGACATGATGTCCTGGGAGAACCTCACCTTGTACCAATCCCTCTTGTCATAGTTAATTCTTTTTGTCATGATTTTCACTCCAGATGAGTCATTAACTTTTTAACTTCCCTTACCAGCTGACTCAGGCTAACTGTTTCACTCCCATTGTGGACATTTGTTCCTTTTGGCTCATATTTATTTTTACTCTGTCTCTATGAGATATGGGGAGCTCCCTTGGTTGTGTGAAACAACCCAGGGATGCTGGACCAGGTGGTGCTGCACCACTATCACCCAAAAGAAAACTTCGCTTTAGACGAAAACGAAAGGTCAAACAGAAGCTAAAAGGTGCCGAAGGGGAGGACAAGAGAAGCCACATCCTTGAAGAGAAGGACATTGGAAGCATTGAAGTTACGGAGGAGTCTACGACAAGAGCCCCTGATTCAACCAAATTGGTATCTGGACAAATAACGACTGAAACCGATACACCCACCAATGTTGTCCTTGTTCCTGGTATGGCCCCAATATTTGGAAGCACAGGGACATTGCGTGGCAGCAAGATGGCTATTCTTTCCCCAGATCCCAGTCCAGCCTGGCTGGGGGCACTTCGCCAGTTTGAGGTAGAGGGACTCTGCGAAGAATCTCATGCTGAATTAGAGCAAGGCAACACAACACCTGGAGGAGGAAGAGTCTGTAAGGTTCGAGAGCGAGTTCAGGGGGTGTTAGAGAGACCCTGTCTTTTACGCTCCAAACGTGGTGACCTGGAAGTAGAGAAGGAAGGAGGGGATGTGCATGGGCAGAGTGAACTGATGTTCAGTGAGCCCTCAGAAACTGAGAAGAAGGGAGTTGTTCACATTCGTGAGTTTGAAGGGCAACTTTGTGTGGTCCGAACTGTCTATCCAAGGGACTATGGGTCGCCCGTCTGGTGTGACAAAGAACTTGCGGTCCATTCTGGACCTCCAGCTGCATCTCCTGTTACTGGAGGCATTATGAAAATACAAGTATCCGCAACTCAAGGGCGACCACCCGGAAAGAATGACTCTGCCAAACCAGCAACAGCTGCAGCTCGGGAAAAAAAAGGGAAAGAGTTCCTTTTGGACAACTCTGCTCAAGTAGCTGAAGGTTTTGGCCCCCCACCACAAGACCTTCAGTCTTCAGGTTATGCTAGCGATGTGCCTCTCACCTCGCCCGAGACGGGAGGTGCTGTTCAGACTGATTGGGGGAGTTCCTCTGATGTGCTTGATTCTTCCGTGCTTGAGAGTCCCATCTCCCCCCAAGAGATACCGGCTCAGCCCTCCACTCAGGTCAGATTCTTTTCTATTTGTCTTCCTAAAGCTCTTTCATATGGCTTTTGTAGAATAAAAGGGTAGCGATTAAGCTGACAAGCTTGGGTGTGAATTGAGGGTATAGGTGTTTGTGTGTTTTGCACTTCTATTTCTACATTACTATCTCTCGTGTGGCTTTTTTCTCTCAGCCAATCAGCTGTGCATAGAAAATAGCAAATCCTTCCTGAACCTCTCCCAGGAGCCTAATCAGTGCTGCCCAGACCATCTCTCACTGTCTGCCTCCTTCCCTTCCCTCCATTCCTCATTATTGTCCTTCCCTCATACCACCCCCTCTCTTTCTCATCATTCCTGATGCTCTAGGTTCTGTATTTGAGTAAAACTGCCTGGCATTGCCAAAAACATGATCACAAGTTATGTTCACAGACATTTTGTCAGCTGTTTATCTTTTTTCTCTCTGCACCAGTGTGATTGTTGCATATTTGTATCTGTTGCCTGCCCTCCCTTGCCAAGTGCTCCACCTGCACACTTAAGAGTTATGGCTGGTGGAGAGGGATTTCATGGCCTCGTTACAGACATTCCAGCAGTGTGCTAGCTGCACTTGGTTTATTAAATGCTCAATCTTAAGTATATTCAAACCATGACTGTGCATGCCATTTCAGTGATGTCCACCTAGCTATATTCCTGCCACTGTATCAGAAATGCAGCACAAATGTGGAAAACGAAGCCAGCATGCACACACCCAGAAATGCACATCATACAGTCAATTGTTGAGTGTTTAAATGCAGTCTCAATGATCTCTTGCCATAGAGCAAACTGTCTTCTATTGAGTTCAGTACAGTATGTGATGGCTGCAGTTAGGGCTGGGCGGTATATCGAGTTTGTATGATATATCGATATTTTCTTTATAAGTGATTCAATATGAGGCAATACCGTTTATATCGATATACAGTAGTTTGATACGAGCGCATCTGAAAATATAGCGGAGGACACAGACTGAGCTGCTGCGGAGAAAGTGCATAATCCAATTTGTTCTAAACATGTGACAAGCTTCATATTAAGGCCTTTAAAAACTGGTAAGACATAGTTTATAGTTTGGTATCACGTATTAGTTTAAGCGGCTCGACCCGTCATATGCTCTGACAGAAAGGCTGCGTGTGCCGCTGACAGTAGGCTACTCGCGCTGTTTAATGTGTTTGAGATGTGCTGTCTTCTTGAATGCATAACTTATATTTCACAGGTATATTTTCCGTCTGTAAATGTTAGAAAGCCATGGAAATATTTAAATTTTTCTGTCAGAAGTGTATGAGCTTTCTGCTTTGGGATTCTCCGCTAAACTTCACAGACTTCAGTGAACGAGCGCCGCCGCGCGCATTCGTGCCAAACAGACGGAGCCCAATTAAATATCAGCGCAATAATTCTGACTAAAATATACATTTCGCTGAAATATTTGTAGTTGGACAATAAATGTGACATGTAGAATTTTAAACCTACAAGTAAGTCTATTTTTATGATAGCACTGACTGTAAAGTGACTGTAATTGGGTAATCAAAATAGCCTAACACAACTTTTTGTGTTTGTTCTCATTTATTTCATTTTTAGTTTAGTGATTGTAACTTCTGCTTTAAAAGCCTTATTTTTGTTTTTAGATTGCAATGTTACAATGTTAGAATGAAATGTGATTTTAGCCCTTTTTTGCACATAATATAAAGGCTTACATGGTTACATTCACTTTATTTGTTTTCATAGCCTATAATATGTATTGTTTTGTTGGACAACATTGAGCGGTAAGTGAAATATTAAATACAGATTTTTTTAATCCAAATAAAAAAACGAAAATACCGAGATATGTACCAAATATCGCAAATCGGCCAAAAAATACAGAGATATAAATTTTTGCCCATATCGCCCAGCCCTAGCTGCAGTCATGATGTCATGAAATTTCCCTACATATAAAAAAAGATTGATTTGATATGCACATTAATCAGGCCTACAAACTTTCTTTGGGGAAATGTTTGCGATCTGCATTTTTGCTTTCCTTTCTTTCTATTACATAAAATTACATTATTTCTGTCATGACAACTCTCTTGAGAGTTTAGCATTGCAATATACATGACAATGTTAATGTGTTTGGTCTTGCAAGTAGCAAGTACCGAGATTTGCTACTGCCAATACATCCACAGACATGCTGCTGTGAGCATGTAGGAAATACTGCTGCAGCACATATAACATATATGAAATAACCCCCATATCTAACATACATAAAATTACCCTGTAGAAGATCTATACAGGTGGAGCTGGGGAAGGTGAAGGGTTTCTGAAGCGTACTGCAACTGCTACAGCAAGCACTAGCCAAGTATTTGAATGTTGAGCAGCAGGTTCATTGGCTGCTGATGTGAAAAGAATCCATCCAGCTGCGCCATGTGAATAATGATGTAATTATATCAGATTGAGTTAGAGCCTATCGGCCTGTGCTATCTAAAGTTTCATGACAGAACTTTGTATATATTTTCTATTATGTGTTGATCTGGTAGATTTGTTTATTTAGAATTGTTATTGTTTGGTTTTGCATTTTATTTATTTTTTGTCTTTTTACAATGTTATATTACATATGTTGTGCTATTCTGTGTTGTTTTATATTTTTTGTTTTGTTTGATTTCTCATACTGTATATCACTTACCATTGTTTCATCATCAAATGCCCTTTTATGTTGCTGATTGTAGCACTTTCTTCACTATCCCTTATGCCCACACTACTTTAAATTGTTAGAGTGCACATTGGCGTGTGTTCATCTGCCGGTAACATGCTCAGTGCTAACTGTGATGTAATTCGACTATTTGAGGGTTGCAGCTCATCACAAAGCACGACTGTCCTTACTCTATTATAAGGTCACATACTGAAGTCATCTGCACCCTAATGGAAATACCAGCGTGTCAGTATGACCTGTCTGCTGTTTTTTATGACACACACAGCGTGTCGTCACCCAGATTTATCTCTGCTGTCATGGATGATTCATCTTGAGACTGATTTGACTCAAGCGTTCTTGTCTGGAAAACATGTTAGATGGTGATACCAAAAGAAAAGGCAATGTTTGGGTGCATTTTTATGGCTCAGAGCCTGGTTGATTGGACAAGCATTAGAAATCTGTCTGGCCTCACCTTCTAATCATCTTTAGAGTAAGAGGCTCAGGCTAGGACAGTTACTGCTCTGTTTCTGTATGTCACCAAATTTGCTCAAGCTAATCTTGGCCTGCATTGACTTTGTGAAGATTGATTTACTCTTATGTCTGTTTATACTCTCAGAACTGTCTGCATTCATGCCAGGATTTAAAGTGTTCTTTGCTAGCAAGGCAAGAAAAGAAACAGGCAGGGATGTGAAGAGCAGCATATGAGAGGAATGACGAAGGAATACAGATTAGAGCCTGGCACAGACAGATACTGCGGATACTGACTCCCTTTGTCAAGAGGAAGAGGGAGTGAATGTAGAGGAAAGAGATAAGTGAAAGGTTCATGGCCTAGCTGTGGGTCACTTGGGCCTTAAATACAGTGGCTACCCCTAAAATTATACATTTGCAAAGTAGCGACGCTCGACCTTTTTAGTGGAAGTATGAGGTCAGTTTCCCTTTACATACAAACCATTTGATGAAGTTCAGGTACAATATAAGCTCTTTTTATTTACTAGATTTCTGAGATCTATGTGAGCGGTGAGTCAGGTGACCTTACTGCGAAAGAGAAGCTGCTACTATGGAGTCAGCAGGCCACAGAGGGCTATCGTGGTCTCCGTTGTGCCAATTTCTCCTCCAGCTGGAGCGATGGACGCTTGTTCAATGCTCTTCTGCACAGATACAGGTTCACACACAAACACATTTAAGCATAATGAGTGCACAGTTTAAAAGGTTAGATGCACATCAACAATCAAGATCTCATGGCATTGTGATTTTTAGGCCGGACCTGATTGACATGGAAGTGGTTGCGCAACAGAGTAACCGTGAGAACCTGGAACAGGCCTTTGAGATTGCAGAGTCGTTAGGGGTAACACGACTTCTAGATGCTGAAGGTAACATTGGTGTCTTATCGGTCCTTAATTTTCATCCATTCTACATACAGGAATTATTATGTGCTAAACTCTATTTGTCTTAGATCATCATTCTCATTTTTTTTATCCTCTATCTACATTAGATGTTGATGTGTCGTCGCCAGACGAGAAATCTGTTATCACGTATGTCTCCTCCATCTACGATGCTTTCCCCAAGATCCCAGAGGGTGGAGAAGGCATTGCAGCTAATGTATGTTCACTTCACAATGCACTCACTCTCTTCAAGCCGTACCTTCTTTCTCTAGTGTACTTAATGTAATTTGTCTTTCATTTTTTTCCTCCTTTTCTCTCATGTGCTTTCTGTTGTCCAGGAGATTGACCAGCGATGGACAGAGTACCAATCTGGCTTCTCTTCTCTGCTGCAGTGGACCAGACAACATACAGCCCTCATGACCAACAGGAGCTTCCCCCACAATCCTGTGGAACTCAAGGTAAGAAATGTGAGGGAAGGGGAAGCTGAGAGAAGAGGGTTGGATTTCATGAAGAATGGATGGGTTTCAGTTTGGGTCGGCAAGAAATTAATACTTTTACTTGGCAAGGAAACATGAATCAGATCAAAGATGCCATTTATAATGTAACAAAAGATTTCTATTTCAAGTAAATGCTGTTCTTTCTATTCATCAAAGAATTCTGAAAATGCTGTATATGTAGCATGATTTCTGCAAAAATATTAAATACAAATTTTTCAAAATTGTCAATAATATTAAGTGTAAATGTTTTCAACATTGCTAATAATAAGAAATGTTTCTTAAGCGCTAGATCAGCATATTAGAATGATTTCTGAAGGATCATGTCACTCTGAAGACTGGAGTAATGACTGCTGAAATTTATTTATTTAGTTATTTATTGCTGCACATTCTAGGATTGCTTTCTCTATGAAGGATACATACTGCCTTAGAATTTGGCTAAAAAGAGGTGTCTTACAAGGCAGCATATGTGACTGGAACAAACCTGTGATGCTTTAAATTGCTAATCACTATTTGATGTGACCTTACTTGGCTGTTTACCAAAAGTCTTGTCTTCCCTAGGCACTTTACAATGAATATGTCCACTTCAAAGAAACAGAGGTCCCTGCAAAGGAGAGAGAGAAGAGCCACATTGAGCACCTTTACAAGCTTCTGGAGGTGAGAGACTGTTACGAAGATAAAAGAGAAAGAATGACAGAGAGAGATTGAAGCTGACCTTGATTCTGCAGCTAAATGCAGGCGACACTGTTCACAAGAGGCACAGTGGAGCTGCACATTAACAGATTCAGGCTAATGTAGAGCGCACCGCTGCCATGTGGGAGAGGTGGAAGACTGACAGTATAAAGGGAACCTCACATGCACAAACTCAAAAAGCTTCTTTTCATGTTAAAGTGATTGATGTTTGTGGATGTTGTTTAGGCGTGGATAGAGTTCGGGCGCATTAAGCTGCCTCAAGGGCTACACCCTAATGATCTGGAGGAGGAATGGGGAAAACTGATCCTGGAGATGTTGGAGAGAGAGAAAGCACTGAGGCCTGCTGTGGAGAGGTTAGTGAGTTCACGTCTAGAAGAGATTACTGCATTTCGAATTGTAGCTGTTTGAAAGCATTTTTTGATGATGTGTCATTTGTATGTAACTTTGTCCTTAGGTTGGAGTTACTCCTACAGAAGGCCAATAAGATCCAGAACATGGCTCTAGATTGTGAGGAGAAACTCACGTTGGCGAAGAACACTTTGCAGGCTGTAAGTACAGGAGTATCTCTCTCTGTGGGAATTGTCTTATAAGCTCTGTTCCAAAACCTAGTGAGTTGCCTTGCTGTCTTTTGTCTACATAGGAATGACATAGGCAATTTGAATAACTTTGGAAACTCGAACAGAGTTCGATGTTAACTGCTAAGCTAGATAGCACACTAATATTGGGTAGAATAATTATTTTTTAATGAGAATTTTTTAAATTTCAGTATTGAATAAAATAGAAATAGATTAATATTACCATGAAGGATACAGGCAGTGCTGCCTTAGAATAATCCCCAAAGAAGGTATGTTATAAGAAAAACCATGACATGTCAGAAACACACCACATGCCTTAAAATACAGTCTCAGTAAGCAGCTCACTTGGATTTGGAACATATATTGACAGGTCCTCTTAGTTTGTTGCTTGGATATTTATCATTCAGAAATGTTCTGTGCTTCATTGTCTTCTGTCTTTCTTAAGGACTTGTCTCAGCTAGAGAGTGGGCAGCCGGTGCGGTGTGAGAATGAATTGGGGATGTATCTGCAGGACTGTGAGGCTTTAGTCAGACAGCTTCACCTTGACCTGCAGGTCCTCAGAGATGAGAAGTACTACCAAGTGGAGCAGCTGGCTTTCAGGTAAGAGGGAGAAAAAGGAAAAAAGAAAAATGTGTGTGAAAAGCAGGCCACAGAGTGGAATTAGAGGCAAGAATGGCTTATGATTTCATTCTTGTTGACAGTTACTTAAAATTAATTTGAGAGGTTTCTGATTTGGTGCTTATGAAATATTTCTAATTATTATGTCGAAAACAGTTATGCTGCTTGATATTTTTTGTAGAAACCACAATACATGTTTTTCAGGATTTATGTTTTCATTTATGATGCTGAGGTCATTTCTCTTTTGTAGGGTGTCATGTCTGCAGGAGGAGCTGGTCTCTTTGCGCCTGCAGTGTGCCAGTGTGTACAGGAAGGGTCATTTCTCCACAAGGGGTCTGCTGGGAGAGCACGCAGGTCAGAGGGGTTCTTCAGGCAGTCTGGCTACACTGGGAGCACAGACGTTTCTGGGAGCAGTGGGAGCTGTGGCATCCCTGCTCAGACGGCCGATGTCTCGTGCAGACCTGTTAGCCATGTCTTCCTCTGAGGATGAAGGCAGTCTGCGCTTCATCTACGAGCTGCTGGGGTGGGTGGAAGAGACGCAGGACCTGCTGGAGCGAGCTGAATGGGGTTCTGATCTGCCCTCTGTAGAACAGCACCTGCAAGACCACCACATCATTCACATGGCAGTGGAAGATCTTCTGAATAGCCTCAAAGAGGCTCGAAACTATGAGGTACATGAACTATGAGGTCTTGGTATCAAAGGACCTTTCACAAAAATTCAGATGAAGTCTCAGCTTCAGGTAGCATGTACCATTCTGTTCATTGAGTGTCTTGTGCATATTCCACACAAAACTGGAATGCGCTTGAGAAAATGGCAAGCTTCAATCATATTTTCTGACTGCACTTCAACAATATTTGTGATTGTGTGTGACACTGAAAAATATTAGGTGCACCGGTGCAAGTGACCTGATTGAAGCTCATGAATGGTTGTATACAGGGTCCAAAATTGCCCAAGTGCCAAATGCAAGTAAAACTCATAAATTTTTGACTGTGCTTGTAAAAAATTGCCAGCATAGAGCCCTATATGATATGTAAAAACAAAAGAGTTGGTCGCTTTACAGTCCGTTAGACTGTCTCTTCAAATTTAAGTGGGTGGTTCTAGGCCATGATAGCTTTTGGATTTTGTGTGAAGGAGTCCATGGAGATGCATTGTGTCATTTTAAAACTTGCTGTGTGTACATCCAAACTGGCAATTCTGAACTGGTGTAAATAGTTTGCAAGAGCTAATGTAATAAACACTGCACACTTTTTCATAAGCAGTAATTTATTTCCTCATGTTCTGTCTCCCCCAGTCAAGGGTCTCGCCTAATTTAAGTAGCAGTTACTCTGAGACTCTATCCAAGCTGGAGAACCAGTATTGCAAGCTGCTGGTAAGTTTTTCTGCTTTAGCATTATGATAAGCAGGCATATGTGAGTGTATTTGAGTTCATTATACACTGTATTATGGTTATTACTGTTCTCTAATCTCATCAGGGTGTGACAGAGTGTGTCCTTACAAAAGCAGAATACTGAATGCTTGAGTGTGACATGCATAAGACTGCTGTAAAGCACCTGCTCTTGACAATATATCCACACCCACACACGTCTCCTTAATTTAACCAAATAATTTCTTCAGGAAAACATACAGTTGTTCAAAAGATCTGTGAGGCCAATTCGCCAAGGGTCCTTGCTTACCACAGGAAAAGCATCAGACTGAGCAGTTGTCCGCGTGATATGACCAATGTTATGAATGTTGTTTTGTGTTGTCGCAGGAACATTCGTCATGGCGACTGCGTTGCCTAGAGAGCCTTCGAGCTTTTGTGTCCCGCTGCACTGAGGAGCTGATCTGGCTCAATGAGAGGGAGGAGGAGGAGCTGGCCTTCGACTGGAGCGACAGCAACACCAACATGGCTGCCAAAAGAGAGCAATATTCTGTAAGACTAAATCTATAGGAAGATGCAGTAGTCATCATACTACCTCTGGCCACTATATGTTCCCTTACTGATTTAGTTTTTTACCTTTTCATATATCTTTTCTATAGACATTTCTATTATAATATTTTTGTCTGTAAGTAGATTAAAATAATTCATAATTTTCCCTCAAAAGTATGCTTATGATTCATGATTCTTTGAGGTTGAGATGAAACAGAAGTAGCGACAGAACTTTTCTTCTGTGTTATGACATACAAACAAGTGTAACGGATTATCAAAAAAAAGAAAAAATGTAGAGCAGATACTTGGTTCTATGCATTGGTTGTTCATTGGATTTTGGAATGGACTGGATGAATCTTTCACAATAGGATCAATAAAATGCATTTACAAATTAGATTAGGTCATTTTTCCTTTCATGCTGACTTTAATGTAGTTGCAGTTGTTCGTTCCATTGTTTTGGATTTGAGCAATATCTCAAATTCTCCTTACTCTCTCGTAGGACATGAGGTCAGAGCTGGAGGAAAAACAGGAAGTGATGTACTCTCTCCAGGAGACAGCTGACCACCTGTGTCAGGAGAACCACCCAGCCAAACAAACAGTGGAGGTGAGCTGTTGACCAGTATGAACAATCTTCACTCACTGACCTCAGTAAAAATAGTTTGATATCAGATTTGGAACCCCGTCGTGACCTGTTGACTCCTCTGATCACAGGCCTACAGTGCTGCCCTACAGACGCAGTGGCAGTGGATCAAAGAGCTCTGCATATGTGTGGAGCAGCATCTCAAGGACAACACTGCCTACTTCCAGGTACTGAGTCAAGCTTTTCAATAGAATAGCATTCAAAATGACATTTTTAACTTGGGGTTTTAATTACATGTTTTTGCTTTATAGTTTATGAGTGATGCACGGGACTGTGAAAGCTATCTACGTCAGTTACAAGACACCATTAAGAGACAGTACACCTGTGATAAAAACAGCAGACTAAGCAGATTGGAAGACCTGCTGCAGGACTCCATGGTGGGTCTTCCCTCTTACTTAAAAAAAAAAAAAACTTGGATTTAAACATATTTTACATATTTTATTTTTATGTATTGAATAAATATGCTATGACCAGTGTTGGGGGTAATATATTACAAGTAACGCAAGTTACGTAATCAGATTACTTTTTTCAATTAACTAGTAAAGTAACGCATTACTTTTTATTTTACAAGAGAATATCTGAGTTTTTTTTTCAATTTATTGATTGACAGCTCTCCTGTCCCCATGTTGAGAGAAATCAGAAGATGTTACTGTAGTTCAAAATAAATCTGAATATGCATTAATTCATCTCACTCACAAAAAACACAGATTCAGTATTCCTCAAAATGAATAAAAATAATGCAACTCAGAATATGACGCAAACCTGCAATAATTAAATGTTAAACAACACAAATATCCTTTATGTATTTAATCCCATTCTATTAACCAATGTCTTTGCTTCTGACCTTCGATGATCCAGTTCAACCATACTAATAAGCAAAAATTACTCTAGACAAACATTCGTGTGTCTTTTTTTTTATTGCTGAAGTGTGTTGAAATTTCTTCTTCTGCATTCTACTGTACAGACGTAAATTTACTTTCCCTTCAGCCTGAGGCTTATTCATTTCACTTTTGGTGTGAAAAGGCTTTTATATTTGCCAAAAATATAACTTTTTTATTTTAAAATCAAACAAGCATGCCCTGTCCAGATTTAAAAAGTAATGCAAAAGTAACGTAACATTACTTTCCATAAAAAGTAACTAAGTAATGTAATTAGTTACTTTTTTATGGAGTAATGCAATATTGTAATGCATTACTTTTAAAAGTAACTTTCCCCAACACTGGCTATGACCATAGGAGATTTTACACTTTACGCCTGTTTCACAAATACTCCGTCTGCAGTGCGTATGCGTTGCGTTTTTTTTTTACGCACCCATGTTAACGGATTAGAGCGTTCACACTGCACGCGGTTGCGGTCCGTCAGTGCGTTCCAGGAGCGGCGCGTCTGTAGCAGTGCAGCGATCTGTGCTGCACGTGCTGCATTAAAGTGAAACATAAAAATAAACATGGATTGACCCAGAAATGTAGTAATTTCACAATAAATTTATATAATTAAAGTCTACTGTGTTTCACAGTAAACACGTGGCATTTTGGCTAGATTTAAAACAAGGAAAAGTGCACTTTTAGATAAACAAGGCAACATAATAGATGCACTTGTGGTGGTAGACAACAAAGTTATTTAAGACCCGCGGGATTGCTTGTAATAAAGATTTAAATGCAAAAGAAAAGGCACAAGAGTCGACTGTTTCTGTCAGTGGTGAGTTTTAATTTAAAATGTTTGTGATAGCCTACTTTTAACATAAGAAAAGTAGGCTATATGCTGTGTTTAAATGTGTTGCCACTTGCTTGAGCAACTTAATATACAAACCTAGAAGTCAAATGCATGACTAATACGTTGTTTATATTTATTGAGTTTAAACGAATGTCTATGAAAAAGAGGATCACAATGCTGAAAAAGCTTTTTCAGTAACAAGGTTTGGATTTGAAATCAAAATAATGAATAAATGTTGTGTTTGTGCCTAAACAGCCGTGGATCAGTAACGGACTGCAAACGTGTCATGTATAAAAGCGAAACGAGTCCGTGCTGCTTCTGCACCGCATACGTAACGCACACGGACTGCATACACACTGCAGACGGAGGATGTGTGAAACAGGCTTTATACTCAGTTGAGGAATGTGAATATTTGAGCACAATGAGTGCACAGGAGGTGGTGAGAGTCCTCACATGTGACAGATGGCACTATGAGAGAGGAATTGCACAAGAGCTGGCAGAGCGATGGGCATATCCTCTTTGGCCATATGGAAGAGAGACCCAGTCTGGAGAGTTCAATAAGGACATGAATGCATTAAAAATTTGATAGAAGCTGGGATGGATTATCGTCTTAATTTTATTTTTTATTTTATTTTATTTTTTTATTTTTTATGTAAATTATTGAGAAAAAATAACCCTGGCCATTAGGAGGTTCCTAGTGATCCACCAACACTGACTATTATTCACACAGCTGCATTATACATTTTTTAAAAATGTACTGTACTTAATACTATTATTACTACTACTTCCAGTTTAAATGCCTGTTTTTACAACACCTTTTTTATTTAAAAAAAAAATAGCTGTTGATAGATTGATTTTTTTTTTCTTTAAAAACAAAACGTGACATTAAAAAAATGTTCTAGAATTGTTGCATTAGCTCATAATTAACTGCACTTAAACAAGCATCATCAAAAGCCATTTATTTGAGTTTGTGTTTATAATTAGACGTAAGTTTATTTAATTAAAATATTTATGTTAGACATAAACCCTTTGTTCTAGCTCTCACTGGGGATGATTTCATTTAAGCATTTGATAGAAAGAAAGAAAAACAGCACAGTTGATTTGATAAGTAACAATTGATATCCCGCAAATAAGGTTTTGACATGTTTGCCATAATTTCACCTTCGTTGTTGCTCTGAAAGTCCTCTGTGGTTTTGATGAACTCCAACCCCATGCTGATATGCTGTCAAATTTATCATCACTTCATTTTTTGCAGCGAACGTAATGCTATTAGCTCTTCCTGTCGGCCTCTGCTTCCCAAAGTCAGAACTAATGAAACCCTCATGAGCTTTTCATGGAAGTGTCAAACCACATACTCATTAATTTTAGTAAAATGAAAGCTAAGAAAATAATAACCCAGGGAAGAATATCAATGATGGTCTTTCATTTCCTTAAAGCCATTTCGAAAGTCCCTAATCTATTTTAATGAGAGAAAATTAATATTTATTATCATGAAAGCACATATACATTCAGTTCATTTGACACGCAGCATGGAAACACAAATGATGGAAGAAATTCCAATTATGGGGACCTTGCAGAGGCTGAATTAAAAAAATTATTTGAAATATTCAGTCTAATGAGTTTAAATATTTATTGAATTAAGTTTATTGAACAATATTTGTTCAGACACTTTTGGTCACAGAATAAATTAATTATAGCCACTAACATCAAATTACTCTGTACTTTTTATTATTGTTAACTGCTTGATTGACTTGCTTATATATTTTATTTTTCAGGAGGAGAAAGAACAATTGATTGAATACCGCAGCACAGTGGCCAGCCTTGTAGGCCGAGCCAAGTCTGTAGTCCAGCTCCGTCCACGCAGTGCAGATAGTAACCTGGGCACCAACACGCCCATTCGTGCCATCTGTGACTACCGACAAATAGAGGTATAACATGCTCCAGATATCTCACCATCACAACCTATTTGCTTTGCTTTACCTTTCCACATCTCAACCCTGCATTGATCTTTATGCTCTTAAGAACTGAGCTAAGATCACATTTGGAAAATTAACGTGATCCTAATTCAGTTTTTCTGAGTTTTACTTTTTTAGCCCACTCCTACCCCACCTGAAAAAAAAAAAAGTATTTTAGCTTTCATCATCTGCTCCACTAAGGGCACTAGCCAGAGACCATCTACACGTACTTAGTCATAGACCGCCCTGGAGCTCTGAAGGCAAGTATTAAGGGGTAAAGGTGCCATTGACCAAAACATATCCAGAAGATCTGTCCTATGTTTGCCCATTTAGCTGTTAGCAAAGAATTCTGGGAAAGTGGAGGTGTGACACATTATGAGTGATGAACAGACCTGCTATAGCATATCTAATCTACCAATTTAAATATATGGTGCTTAGGGATGTAACGATTACCGGTTTGACGATAAATCATGATAAAATTACCCACGGTTAGTATTACCGTTTCATCTTTTAATTATCATTAAAACCATATTAGATTACCGCGATTTGAACAACTCACGATAAATAAATACTGTCCAGCATAAAGCACAGTTTTAAGTAACAGTCTCACGTGCGCACAGCACGCAGAGTAGTTTCGTTTTGTGTGACAACAGGGCGGAAAAGCTGGGAGGTTTTAAAAGAGTGCTAAAGGAATTATACAAATGAATATATGAATTAATTAATTATATGAATGTACCTCTGAAGGTTCTGACTGTCTTCAGAAACGATTCGATGGCATTTTGTTTTCATCTTCGCTCCATGTAATACCTAAAGGAAGTGTTCTTAACCCAATACTGTTTTGTCCACGGAGGTTACGGGAAACAGCGTTTCCATAAGCGCCACCTGCTGTTAGCGAGTGGATTTACAGAGACTTATATTTACATTCAGCCTGTGTGCAGTTTCTCTCTGGCCAAAAACGAATCTGCATGCCCTGCTGTAAATTTTGACCAGTTGATGAAAAACAAGCTTATGTGGATTCTACACATTTAAACAATTCAGATAAGTTATCTAGAATTATTTATGGAGCAGATAAAATACATATAACCATTTATTAATCAATTATCATTTTGACATATCTTTTCTTTATTTAAAGGCTAAAATGTGAGGTTTACCTTTTTATGAAACTTTTTCAAAGCTTTATTTGAACATTTACATATATTTCAACATGCTATTAAACTGTTGTAGCGACGGAAAGTACGGCATCGCTCATAACTCCCA